ATACAAGCCTATATACAACAGATTCAATTTCATGTCCAATAAGAATTTATGAAGATGAAGGTGATTGTTAGTTTGTGAGCTCGTAAAATCAGCCAATAAAATTCTGATTAAATCATCCAGAATAAGAGAGAGAACGATTCTCTACAAAATGAAATGTCTTCTAACTCTCTATGATATTTTTTGACCGAGATGTATCAATCATACGGACGACACAAAAGTCAGTTCTTCTGTCATTACATTGAAAAACTATCAATCACTTTTATCTTCGAAGATTCTTTGTGGAAATGAAATTCTCTGTGCAAATTAATATTAGAATTCGTATTAATCTTTACGACAATGGAAAAAAATTAAAGATAAAGCTGGTCGAATAATTATGAGAGTCGCTGCATACTAGATGCTTGTTATTCTGTTTTCAAAAGAAAATAAGAAAATCAGTATAGTAAATACTTAGGAAAAAAGCATAATTTTGTTTTTCTATGAAACAATAACTTACAGTCCACTGGTTAACATTTTTCGATGAATATGAATAGAAAGTAATAGATTCATTAGAAATGACTTGTTTTTCTGGATTAACAATTTGTTCTATTGGTGTTGTTAATTGTTCATTTTCTTTTCGTTGAACTGGTTCCGATCTTTCACGTATTATCCAATCACCAATAACATGAGTTGTTATAGTGCCTTTTGATTTGTTTTCGAACATCGTCTGTTCTTTATTATTTTGTACGATACTAATGGATGGTATTGGTGTTGATTTTACTGTTTGACAATATTCTGTAGGACATACATTGAGTGGAATGAGTGTAGTTGTTACACGAGGAGCAGCTGAAATTTTCATTAGAAAAGAAAAACTAGAAAAAAAAACGATCTATTTTATACGTACTAAATGGTTTATATGATGAATAAACAGGTGTATTCTAGAAAAAAAAAAAGAGTTTATATATAAGTTGATGACGATGAAAAAGAAGCATGTTTGACAAGTATATTTCAACCTGTTGTTGTTGTTGTTGCTGTATCGAAGATGGCATGATTACTATTGAAAAATTGAAAAAATTATTTTATATATTTGAGTTTACAAAATTATCTACCTGATGATGAAGAAGTATTAATTGGATTAGGATTGGTATTGATTAGTCGTATTATTGGATTTGGTGAAGTTACTTGAGTATTTGTCCATAAAGAAGATACAGGAATAATCTTAATAAAAGAAAATTTCAAACTTCCATCTATTTTAGTAGTAAAACGTTCATATTTCTATGTTTTCGAATATCACAATTTGACTTCAAACTAGATAAATATTTTTGTATTAAACATCATTCAAATCTTTGTTTAATAATATATCAAAACAAAAACTTTATCTTATATTCATGTTTTTGTAAAGATTTTTTTATTAAATCGATGGTTTCATAGGTTACTAGGGGAGCTTGGTAGTTCTGAGTTTGAAAGTTCTATTGATTGATTCGATTTCGTAAGTTATCAATCAGGTAAAATCTATTGACAAGCATCAAACATTTTATGCTTCTTTTTAGTCTTTATATCTTACAAGAAATAAGATTTGTTGAACTTCATAGAACATGGTTTATATGAATAAATAACATTAATTTACCTGATAATTATTGATCGGAATTGAAATTGATGGTGAATTTTTTGATAATGTACTCATACGGTTTTTGAGTCGACGATTTGGTTTGAAAGATTTCTGAATGATAGAAAGAAAAGAAACGTATTAATAGAATGAAAAGGCCGTCGTGAAATAGATTAGTACAGTTGTTTTGTTTTTTTTTAATAGTATTGATGATGGCATAAGTAATGTAGATGTAGTTGTACTATCAGAAATTTTCATTTCTTTTTTTTTTTCTCTGAATTTGTTCTTACTTATTTGTTTGAATAATAATAGACAACGAAGGAGTCTTATACATGCATGTATGCTGAGACGACTTTTTTTTTTTCTCTTCTTCTCTACGATAGAGAAAAGCAACGAGTGAGTGAAGTAATTTTTTGCGCCTTTCTTTTCTTTTGCTTCTTTTTTTTTTCCGTTTGTTAATGGTCGTACAGGGTACGGCAAACGAAATTTCCTCTTTTCTCCAACAGTATCCAATCGGAACGGAAGAAAAGAGAGGAGAGAAGAAGAAGAAAAAAACCACTTTCTTCTTTTTTTTTCTTCATCGATTCAGTCAATCAAAAACTAGGTTAAATCCTCCACATAGAAGACATTTATTAAGATCATGACATCTATTTATTTACATCGTTCAATAATGATTCACGCAACTTTTTTCTTTCTGCTCTGTTATGGTTTGTTACTATACACATATCCAAGGCTCGTCTCTCTTATCATGTTATACATCCGAGCTCTTGAGTCATGAAATCGAAAAATTTTGTAAATATGGTGCAATCAAGTATTGCTTAAGACAAATAATTGCTATAACCTTGAACTTGACGTCAGAAACCCTTTGTTTTTTTGTGTCACTAAATTAAATGACATTTTAGATTTTATCTAAAAATAGTCTTGTTTTTTTGATGAATTCAAATTTCACTTTAGATCTCTTTTTATCTTTTGAAAGTCTTTTTTTTATTTTCTCTTGAATAAATAATATAACTTCATCGTATATATTTGTATATCTATGTTTTGGTAATATTTTGCTGAAAAAAAAAACAATTTTCAAGTATTAGATTAGTTTTGCTTGCAACTATCATTATCGCTATTTGTCTTTTTAGCATATAATTAAATTTCATCATTTTTTTTTGTTTTTTTGGCTATTTTGATATGCGTCTTTGTATTTTTTTTTGAAGTATGGTATTTTGCAAAAAAGAAACCTGAGAGAAAGAAAATAAAAATTGTTGTTGATGATGAATATAAGAACTTTTTTTTGATTATAAGGGCATATTATTTTATTGAATGAGATTTGTTTTCTTCGGTTCCTATGTCAAGGTCATAATAATCAAAGTGTTGACAACGAGAAAAAAACAACAAGAGTACATATAGCCTATTAGTAGCTTTTAATGAGGACAATAAGAAATATTTTCTTTCAGGCATGATTGAATCAAATGGTTTCTATTTACGCTATTCAAATTGTTTTATTTTACAATAATCATTGAATGTTAGATTATTTTTTTTTTGTGAACATTAAAAAAATTGGAAAATATTCTTTAAGTATATAGGTCAATATTATTCATAATACTAAATAGAAAGCAAAATTGCGTTTGAAATAATACTGATGTAGACGTGGCAAAGACACGTCAGCGTTAATGCTCATCGGTAGCAACCTTTTTTCATATTCTGTGATGAAAAAGGTAAAGTAAAATTATGAAAGACAATTATGAAATATTTCGACAGCAACATATATGCCTGTTTTAGTCTAGTATGCACTCTCTTTTTTTTCTTGCCTATATTTGGTAAAAAGAAAAAAACAAATAGCGATTCTTTTATAAGCATTATTTTATTATGAGATGGGGCTAGTCATTATGCATCATGATGACAAATTTCGAGGGGTAAAAGAGAAAAACAAGATTCATTTACTTTTTTTTTTTAGTTCTATAAAGTTTATGTACATTGACGACATGAGCTTCGGAATCCCTCATTCCTGTATGTCTTTCTCTTTCTCTCTTTGATTCAACATGATGTCATAGAGAAAAGGAAAGAAAAAAAACAACAGGGAAAAAATGAGCGGTAAATATGCTATATAAAGCAGACTCCGACACTACTGTTATTGTCTTTCATTCGTTTTTACCTACGATAGAGATAGGAAACCAACAACACAAAATTATCCGCTGAAGCACCCGATATCGTGAACAAATATTTGCAACATATCTCCACATAAGTGTTTTTTATAGTAGAGCAGTTTTGCCTACGATTATTATTTCTACAAATCAAATTCTGAGTGTTAGGTATTATGACCTAAAACATTCTAGTAAAAGAAGGTACTTTTCGGAAAGGTATTATTTTATTTCTATAACAAGCTATTTTTGAATAATTTATTTATGTAATTTATGGATTGCATGGTAACCGTTCTGCTATAGAGAAAAAAAAATTTTCTCAATAGAAGTTGACAGGCATAAAAAAAACCCACAAGTTTATTCTTGTAATGCATTCAAATGCAATTACAGTCAACATTCTTCTCTTTTACAAAAAATCCGACCCTTTTATTTCTTTTGGACGTCATAAAACAGGAGTTTTTGATATTACTTTTCTCTATCTCAAATTTTCTTTTTTTTATTTTCGAAGTTTGTTGTTTTTGCGAAGTCAAGAAAAACATAAGCAAACATCAGGTCACCTATTTTTTTTTTCTTCTTATTTACTGACGATTCGCTTTTCGCTCTTTTAAATGTGAAATGAAAACAAAACGAAATCATTTTTTTTTGTTTTTCTGTGTTTTATTATCGATATTTTTTACGATTTAAGGCAAGAGTAATTTGAATACCCTTCTCAACTTCTTGAAAAGAAAAATAATCCTATGCTGTTCTGTTGCATTTTAGATTACAAAAAAAACCGGATAGAATAATGTGTTTCTTCTAGTCGTCATAGTCGACTAACGAAATCCTATTTGTATGCGTCGAAATTAGGATTGAGTTGGTTAACAAATACATATATGTGTATATAACAGGGCATCTATTAATAACCGAATACTGTCAGCTATTTTAATTGCTACTGCAACTTCGTGATCATCATCATAAAAAAAAAAACAACAACAACAGTAATAGCAAAGGGTGTACAAGGAACGACAAAGTGACAAAAAAAGGTGCATAGCAAAAAGGAAGAAAGAAAGAGAAAAAAATTGTTTTATATATTCTCTGCATCGACTCGGGTATGTTTCATAGTGGAGAGGAGCACAATCGCACTGTCGACCCCCTTAACGAATTAGAGCATTTATATGAATCAGCAGCAACAAATGAAGCAACAAATGCAACAAGCACATTCGAACTTGATCAAATCATCCCAGATGACTTTGACTCGTTCGAATTCGACCTCGACTGTGATTCTGGACGAAGAAATTCATGGGGACCAAATGCATCTACCTGTTTCACTGTCGACGAACCTCAACACTCCACTACGTTCAGTCCTGAAGACAAGTGGCCTATTTAACAAAGGTAATTCATTTATTAAAATAAAACGACATCATAATGAATTTTATTTTCTTTTAAATTGAATAGATTGGGAATCTTCAGATCAGTTGAATGAGCTGTGTGCAAATAGTAATGAATTTACACTTCATCGACTTTTAAGTGACATTAATGCCAATGATTTGAATTTTGACATGAATGATATAGCTAAATTTGATCCAATGAAATTATTTGATACACGAAGTCTCAGCGAATATGTAAGTGGGAAAAAACATTTTCTTCTTTTTCTTCGCTTCCTTTATGGGATTTCGAAATCACTTTATTAGAGAAAGATAAAATAGTATATCTAAACAATACGTTTTTTTTCTGTTTATAGTTACAATGTGATTCATCCGATCAAATGAATACGTCAAACGATATTGATTCAAATCATATAAATAGTATACTACCATCTGCAACAGCTTGTTCATCAGGATCATTTTCTGAACTTTGTTCACCAACACTAGAACAACCAGCAAAAGAAATATTCCATATAGAAACAAATCAATTAAAAATGGAACCAGATAATGTATTAGTTTATACGCAATTAAATTCACTTGATGATTTTGTACCCACACCATCAACATCTGCTCCTACTGCACAGGAATTCAATTTTGATCCTAGTGCTTTAGTTGCTTTTGAACATGATTATGGCTTTTTATCAAAACGAGCAACAGTTTTTGATACACCATCACCATCACCAACAATTTCTAAACGAACACCAACACGTGGACCTCGTCGTACATCATCTCGACTTCAATCGCGTGCTACATTAATTGATTTTAATCAAATACTAAATGAAAGTTCATGTTCATCACCAACAATATCTGAAGATAGTTCCATATCATTAAGAAGAACTAAAAATCCACGTCATATTCATCGTGCTACAGATATAAAAACAGAAGACGACTTATCATATTATTTGGAAAGACGTCGAAAAAATAATGAAGCATCAAAAATATCTCGTGCAGTACGAAAACAAAAATTTGGTGATATGGATGTTCGATGGTAAAAACTAATGAAAAGAACAATCTTTTATTTATTAATAATATTTCTTTTCTTTTTATTTCAGTGCTGAATATGAACGTGTCAATGTTGAACTTCGTCTGAAGATTTCAACACTTGAGACTGTTACAGCCAATTTAAAAAATGGTCTAATCCATAACTTTCAACGTAAAGGTGGTGTGAAGCCAAAATTCTAAGCATATATGTATGCTTATGGACGTGCGTGTGTCTTTTGTTTGCTCTATTGATTTTTCATTCATATTTGTCAAATATTTAATCATATTTTTCTAAATTTTCAATGAGCATCCTTTCACTTTCTTTCCCGAGTGATTGCTTTTTTATTTCTGTTCAGCCGAGAGGAAAGAAAAGTGCGTTCTGATAGTATGCAATATATATATATAGGTTTCTTTCTATTTTACTATCAGTTCGTAAAGCCCGCACATATATATGTTCTATTTTATCTTTCGATGAAAAAAAAAAACTTAGAACAAAAGAAAAAAAAAGACAAAAGTAGAAAAGTAGACAAAAAAAATGCATTTTTTGTTCCGTTTTTGTTTCTCTCGCTTCTAGTTTTTCTTCTAAACTCTATTTGTTGAGAAAAAAACTTTCGATAAAAAAAAAAATGACACATATATCTATACATATGTTTGTCTGTCTATGCATTTGTGATATACTTCTTTGTTTTCTCTCTCTCTCTCACTCAATATATATTGTCATCGACTGCAGGCAGTTGTTTTCGTTACAGTTTTTTGTTTGTTTGTTTATTTTTTGGCTGTTGTTGCTGAATGTCATGATTTTTATTGTGAGAGCACATGTGATCATCGAAGTTCTTTGTACATGTGGAATATCATTAGGAAAAAAACTAACAAATTATTAAATATTCTTTTTTAAATTTTTTTGTTTGCGCTATTGACAGTCTGTCATATTGCATTATACATATGTTTCTTTTATTGTAAACAAACAAGATACATAATGAAATAATAAATAAAACAGAATTGAATTATTCAAAGACACATAATTAATACTATAATGTTACAAAAAAAGGTTTTAACAATAACTTTTTTTGTTTCTATAATTTTAAACACTTAGCTTGAATTCGGATGGTGATTTTAATAGCCAATAGAGTTTTCAATCGAATGCATTCTATACTAGATGAACTATAATGAAAACCTTTCTATATAACCGAACATGATAGTTTTCAGATCCTACAGTTTATCTTTTAATAATGCTATTTTAAAAAGAACAAAATCAAAGGTTGCCGTATTTTCTGTGGTCTCTCTTTAAAAAGTTAATAGTGTTATAAAAGCCGAAAAAAGGCAGTTTTTTTAATCGTTTTTTTTCATAAATTTCAATTTTTTTGATAGCTTTAGGTTTATAAAGACAGATTGTAGAGAATATGACGACCTCTCACTCTGTTTTCTTTAAAATGGCATTGTTACAAAATAACTTCTGAGACTTGGAAACTATCGTGTCCGATTAGATAGAAACGCTTGTTGTTATAGTTCATCTAGTAGAGCTGAATTTGAGCTAGATGTTTAACATTATAGTTATTGTTAAACTTTTTCTTACCATTATGAAATATTTATCAATGACACAAAACGTGTTTTTTTTTTAGATGAGTTCTATTGAAAAAAATATAACTCATGATCATATCTACTCACGAAATTCTGATAGAGAAAAAGATTGTAATCAAATGAGAAATCTATCAAATAAAAATGATAATTCAACATATGATCGTCGTCGAATAATTCGTAAAAAATGTGATATTCAAACAGATGAAGATCGTGAAGAATATATTCGACGACGAACATTAAATAATTCATCATGTCGAATGTCTCGTATTCATCGTCGTTCAAAATTAGATTCTATGATAAAAAAATGTACTGAATATGAAGATTTAAATAGAAAATTAAAATTTAAAAAATTAATTATTATTCAAGTAATTAATCAATTGAAGGAACATTTACGAACATTAGTCTCAAATAACATCAAACAAACTGAATAATATATTAGATGTTTCATTTATGTCTTTTATTTTCATTTATCTCAGGAACAAAAAGCATATATAATCAAATTCGAACAATCGGTCAATTTGTCTCACGAGAGAATTACTTGTTGATAATATGACTGTAGTTTTTTATTTTAAACGATTGACATGTTGTGTTGTGTTGTGTTGTGTTGTGTTTTTTTTTGTTCGATATTTTCACATATAAAAAATGATAAATTGTATTCAGCTGGATATTATTTCTTTCTTTAGCTAACATAGCTATGTTTAAAGTACACTATTGATGATCATGATTAATGGAGGTGATCGAGTCAAGCGAACGAGACGATTGTATATATGCAAATTTTGAATTTCCTCTTCTCTCTCTTTCTCTTCCCTTTGAAATGGACACTTTCATTCATAGTCTAGATCGTATGGTGGTTTGTACTTTATTTTCTCTTGGGTGTTTATGATGGCTTTTTTTCTCATATATGATGTATATACAAAACGACGGTGTGTGTGTGCGAACGCGAACGCATTACTCATGCGATGTTCTCTACTGATACGAACAGTGAGAGAAGAAAAATCAGAGGAAAAAAAAGAGCAAAGGAAAGAATAAGGCCACTATACTCTTCGTTGAGATGTTGTATGTATACATATATATATTGTTTGATGAGAAATAGAGCCTTCTTCATGCAACATCTGATCTACTAGCTCATTTATTCATTTATATCCTACTGACCGACATGGATATGCTCATTTTTGATCAACCACATATGGATTATTCTCAAACACAACAAACATCATCATTTAATTCATCTGCAATTTATTTACAAGATTTTCGTTCTGAACCATGTCAAGTATGCGGTGAAAATGCTAGTGGATGGCATTGTGGATCGATTACATGGTAGGTGTATCTTTGTCATAGTAACAGATTTATGTAATTTGTTTTTGTGGGATTTCCTTTCCAGCGAGGCATGTAAAAAATTCTTTCTTCGATCAGTTAATGAAGAATATCGTAAATATAAATGTATGAAAGATAAAAAATGTATTATTACACGTACTACACGTACTCAATGTCAATATTGTCGTTATATGAAATGTATTGAAGTTGGAATGAAATTATCGGGTAAATTTTTTTTTTAATTTTCTATTACATAAATGTATCTTTGTTTATAAATAGAAGGAATTCCAAATCCAAAAATTGAAGACATTTTTAAGTTGATTCCATGTGCTGTATGTCAAAATCCATCATCTGGAATTCATTTTGGTGCAACAACTTGTGAAGTAAGAATTTGTCTTTATTTTTCTTAAAAGAAAAAATTATTTTTCTAAATTTTTGATCAGGGTTGTAAAGGTTTTTTTCGTCGTACAATGAAAGAACGTACACCACAACGTTATAAATGTCCAGAAAAAAATAATTGTGAAGTTAATACATCAACACGCAGTGCATGTCGAGCATGTCGTTTTCAAAAATGTCTTACAGCAGGAATGTCAATAGAAGGTTCACGGATTGGACGACAATCAAATTTATTTAAACATAAAATGGTTGAAATGCAACGGCAAGGACTAATTCGATCACAGCTACGTAATATAATTGCTTCAAATACAAACAATTATCAATTGAATTCATCAAGTCGAACAAATAATCAACAATTAAGAAAAAAGAATATCATGAATTCTACAAATAATAGTCAAAGTAATTAATATTTTTTAAGCAACTAACCATTTTTTGATGGTTGATCGAGAAGATGAATAATAAATTACGATAGGAAATGAACTAGATTCTAATGTAATTGAAATGTAATGGATTCATCGTAAGCATAGGCAGATGGTTATGGTTCTGCCGGGACTAATATTTTTTTAAATGGAAATAGTGATATGTTGGTGAAGTTTCTCTTTTACCTTGTATTTTAATTGGAAAAAGTTCACTAACGCTCACCCTAATTTATCCTACAAAGCCTCTACTCTTACCTATCCTACGGTGCAGGATAGGATAATCACCCTACACATCACTAACTGGGACCGAAAACGATTGGTCCGTTCATGTCTACTTTAATTACAAAATCATTTTTAACTTTAGGTGAAATCTACATCCATTGACTTCTCACTAGTACTAATTTCTTCATGAGTTTTAAATGTTGACATGCATAGCATGGTGCTATTCTATTAACTGCATTTGAGAAGATAGAAATTTTTGATTGCTTATCAATAATTCAGCTAATACATTGATGGAAAAAATATCTGACATTGTGAACAAGTACAGTTTCAATTCGTCTAGTTCAATTTTATTATTTTTATTCTCAGTATTAGTGAAAACTTTAATTCTATAGTTTATTCCGCTTATAAATTTTCATGTTGCATGTTCTTTGGCACTACTACAGCTGACTAACTAACGATATACAGCAGTCAAAAGATAGCAGACAATTTTTCGCCACTTTGAATTACATGAGTTTCAAAAAAAAATGACTACAATAATCATGTTTTTTTTTATACAAACAATAATTGAATGTCTACATTTCTTCTTAGTACTATCATCATATATTGAATCAACAGCTGTTCGAAGCTTAGAAGATACACTGGAATCTTATCTATTTAAACAAATAATACAAATTGAAAATGCTTACGTCAATTACTTAAAAGTATATTAAAATCTACGATATTTTGTTTATATTAATTTTGTTATTTAAGGAACTTCCATTTTGTTCAAATGAAACAAATGATTTATGGCATACGTGTTTATTTCAATTAAATGAATATACAACAAGAGTTGGAGATTTTGCTTTAAGAATTCCGGATTTTTGTACTCTTAATTCTGAAGATAAAAGTTTACTTATTCATATATCAACACATTCAGTTATACTTCTATGTCTTGGTTTTCAATCATCTCGATATCGAACACTAACAAATGATTCTAATTGGAATTATTTAAATATTTTAACAAATTCTTCATTTGGTCAAAGTTTACAACAAAATTTTCCATTCTTTTTTGATTTAAATCATTTAACATATTCCATTGAACGTGAACTTCAAATATTAGAACTTGATGATAAAGAAATTGCTTTAATGATTGTTTTACTTATTACTTCTATTAGTATGTAAAAAAAAAGATTTATACATTTATCGTGTTATTTTTATTTAATTTTAGCAAATAGTAAATTAAAAGATATTGAAAAAATTGACAAACTTCAAGAGAATTATTTTTGTGCTTTA